ATGCGGAGCTTTTAACTTAGCCTGATTAACCCACTCAGGGGGAGGGAAAGGGAGGAGGAGGGAATGAGCTCAGTGACCAGACCCTACCCTGGATGGGGCTGTCTCTAGGGGGGTAAACACCCTTCATTCACCAGCCCTGGAGCCAGGCAGCCTGGTTCTGCCCCCTCTGGCTCTGTGGTTTGGATACATTGCCTAGCGTCTCTCTGCCTGGCTTTCGTCCTGTGTAAATGGGAGAGGCCATAGGACCCAGCTCCCACAGCTGCTGTGAAAATGCAATGCGTTAACCACAGAGTGTGCGAGACCGTGCCTGCCGCTTAACTAATGCTCAGCCTCTGCCTCCAGGAGCAGAGTCTGGTACAGGACACAGACTTCCACGTGGACATGGCGGCCTGTGTGACTGGGGCGGAGAGGGGGAGGGGCTGTGGGAACCCTGAAGAAGGAGTGACCAATAGAAGAACCCTGCAAAGGCAGAGCCGGTGAGAATGGGTTTTGAGGGATGAGTAGGAGTTGACAGGCAGAGAGGGAGGTATAGTGAACGTGTGTGTTGGGTGTGGTGGCTGCACAACCTCCAACCCCTTTTCATTCGGGAGGGAGCCTCCCATATGGAATCCTGGGTGGACACTGTCCTGGTTCCCACTGTGAAAGCGAAATGAACCAGACTCAGGTTTGGCCAATAGGCCGCTCCTGCCTGGGACTCTGAAGTGTCACATCTGGGGCAAGGGCCCCGGCAGAGTCCTGGCCAGATGCCAGGCCCTCCCCCGGCCTCCTCAGAGCTGGAGCGTTCTGTCCATGCGATGAGCCCTGAGACTGAGCCGGGAAACCCCTTCACCTGGGAGGACAGTCACTTCTGTTGCTTGCGACCAAGAATTCTGAGGGATTCCTAGCAGAAAGGCCAGAATGAACACGAGATTGTAAAGAACATAAACGGAACCCCTTCAAAAGGGAGGCGGAGCTGCCGGCCGCAGAAGATTCAAGAACGGGGCAAACTCTCCTTTGGACTGACTGGGCCCAAGAACCTTGTTTCCCCAAAACTGGGAAGAGAACAAGGAAGCAGTTCTGACCACTGGGCTGATGACTGCCCGGCTGCAGGGAGAGCACCGTTAGACCAGCAGGGCTCTCCGTGGAGGCGGAGGCGGCTCCCCTCTGAGGCAGGGAGGGTCCTGCTGTTGTTGTTCTGTCAGGCGGCGTCTCTCCGCCTTCAAGGCCTCCGGTGACGCCCCTTGCCCTGAAGAGACCGTAGACGCAGTGGTTCTCAACCTTCCTAACGCCCCGACCCTTTCATCCAGTTCCTCATGTTGTGGTGACCCCCAATTTCATTGTGACAAATGGAACATAATTAAAGCATAGTGATTAATCACAAAAACAATATGTAATTATAGATGTGTTTTCCAATGGTCTTAGGCGACCCCTGTGAAAGGGTCGTTCGACCCCCAAAGGGGTCGCGACTCACAGGTTGAGAACCGCTGGTCTAGAGGCTTAGGCAGGACCTGCAGCCCCGTGTGGTCTGCCTGCCCCCTGTCGCACCAAGCCCCCCGCGGCTCTGCGAGGCTGTCCCACCTGCTCTCTCCTCTCCTCCTGCCCCCCCGCCTCCTCTGAAGCTGCGGACTCTCCAGCGTGTCCAGCGCCCAGGAAGGTCCCACACTGACGGCCTTTCCTGGGACGCTCAGTGCGGTCACACGGGCCGCAGCGCCATCTGCCAGGAGGAGAGGCTCCTGGAGGAGGGAGGGCGGTGGCCGCCGCGTCCACCCACAGAGTCGTTCCTCCGCCGTGCGTTGCTCATAAGAAGGAATTAAATGTAGATCATTGTGATCACGTTCATTTAATTTAAAATTTAATTGAGTTATTTAATCCAATGTTTCTCCTGAGGGCGCTACAATTTAAAAAGTAGGACATGCCAGGCCTGTCTTGGTCCCGCGGCAGCTCCAGGTCTAGATGCGCTGGGCACAGGCGGGGCCAAGTCCCCTCCAGGGCCGAGCCTGCGGGACACCCACTCGGCTCTGCG